TAACTATTAATATTGATATAATTGACAAAATTAATATAAATTTGAAAACAAAATGATTCAAAGAACTAACAGTTTTCTTATGAAATTGATCACAATATTGTGTGCCTTTTCGGGAAATCGTATGATTTGGGCAATGGTTTTGAGTACAACAGAACATAATACTCATGATATCCGTAAGAATTGCAACACATCTCTGGATTGTGGTATTGGAGAGATTTGTTTTCACAATTACTGCCAATACATAGCAGTGTCTACTGAAAAGCCTAATATGATTGTCGACAACGACCCCCTATACCTAAAACCAAGACATGGGTGTTGACACACCGATAGTAAACGGTATGGAAAGTAGAGCTAATACCACAAAGAGTATTAGTCACCAATATATATAGCTGCTTATCTATCCTTAGCCAATTTGAGAAGATATCAGACAGAGTACCAGAACAACGGACCGGCAATTATATCCCATATCTATGATGAATCGCAAACAACATTTGATTCAAGAATCAGTGGTCCGCCTCCTTCTTACGATAAAGTGGTCATTCAATTGCCCACTGAATTGCCCCCGACTTATGATAGTTTACACAAATAACTTTTAATACACTTCTACTCAATTTAATGTCTATTCGTTGATACAATTGTTTTGTTATTATAATCACTTTATTATATAATTTTATTGCACATTATATACATTTATGTTATCAATAAACTTAAACAACTCATACAACTAGAGTGTATCTGAGTATAAATATAAAAAGTAATTAAAATAACATTTTTGTAATAAATTTTTATATCTAATATATGGTCACATTATATACATTTATGTTATCAATAAACTTAAACAACTCATACAACTAGAGTGTATCTGAGTATAAATATAAAAAGTAATTAAAATAACATTTTTGTAATAAATTTTTTATATCTAATATATGGCAATAAATGATTTTTATTAAATATTTCATTTCTTCAAAGATTGTCATTTTTAATTAATATTAGTTTTTAAAAACTAAATGTTAATACATAAAATGCAATAATTAAAATAAGTAAATTACATTTTAAAATTATTCTAAATTAGAAATATAACAATTAAAGTTTGTAATTTTAAGAATTTCAATATTTCTTCCGTATATAAACATTCAAAGAATTGGAAAAAATACAATAAATATTGTAAAAACTAATGAAAATATAATTTAGTTTATTAATGTAAAATTTTATATAATTGTAGGTGTAATTGAAATAACAATTAAATAAAATTGTATATTTCAGCGGATGAAGTAATTTATGACAATTTAATTCTAGAAAATCTGAATAAATTCACTATTAATATAGTGAACTATAATTTCTGGTGTAATATTACTAAATAATGTTTCTATATTGTATGTATACATATAATAGTCATTATTTGTATTGTTTAACTAATTGTATTTTTAACTCATTTCAATTGCTGAGAATTAGATTGTATTTTATTGTACTGAAAGTTGTGCATAAAATAATTATATTATAAATATTAACACATTAAATTAATTTGCAGTACTTTAATAGTAAATATTGTTATTTGTAAACATGTTTACCGCTAACAATTTAATAATGGTTTCGACACAACATTTTAATACAGTATATGTTTAAAAGTATTTCAATTTTAGTGATAAAGTTGTGAAATAATTAGAAGACGTGATCCAAAACACGTGTTATTGATTTTAAACATTAAAAATTCCTAAATTCAGTACTAAATGTTGCCTTCACTTTGAATTGACTTCGCAATCATTATTTGTTTAATTTTTCACAAATATATCGATAAGATTAAGACATATCTGTCCTGTTTATGGACTCTCAATCGATGCATTTGTCTTCTCATCGCAAATCTGGAGATGAGTTTTGACTCTCAAATGGTCGACAGATATGCTGTGGACTCGAGCCCGAAGTCCAGAGTATTGGTCTTCAGAGACATGGATCTGACGACAATGAGAGACAAAGCGCTGAATCTGAGGTATACTTCATTGCAGGACGTGATCAACGACTTCAAGCATTTTGTCCACAATTACATGGTTTGCGTGGACTCTGAGTTCAAACAGCGTTTGAAAGAAATCTCGGATTTCGAGCGCAAATTCAATCACGAGGTGAAAGAGTTGTGTCTTTGCGTCGATTGTTACGTGTATTCGTCGGACAGCTCTTTCGACATCGACGCGAAGCCTCACGACTGGTTCACTCAAGTGTGTTCACCGCCTCATGAGTTGGTTTTCGCCAAGTTTGGCAAATACCCGTATTGGCCCGGGAAGGTCATCAACAGGGCTCCCAATGGCAAGTCATACGACATCCGCTTCTTCGACGCGCCCGACTTCTCGCGGGCTATGATTCCGATCGACAAATTGCGTCCAATCGAGGGATTCAAGTACGAAGACGACGAAGATCTCGAGCTTCCCGTTCAGCTCCTGGAAGAACACATCACGAAAATGAAGGCAAAAGGCCTCGACTTTGTGGCCACTGTTAAGCCGCCGCCCGTCAGGGGTTCGGCCAAAAAGAGGGCCAATTCTGAGACCAATGGAAGCGAACGTCCGGCCAAACGATCCAAGAAATCAACCGATTCTCAAAGTGATTGACAATATTAACGCTATTTTATCTCATTTTGGATTTTTATTGACATTTTCTTTATGTAATTTTACGATTTTATTTCATATGAAACAAAGATTTTTTTACCAATTATTATTCCTATTATTTGTTTCAATTAATTTCATTTATTACTCAATTTATAGTTAATTACAATTTGAAAAACACTTATAAATATAATATAAACTGAATTATTATTATCGATAAAAATGTAAAATACTTTTTGTGTGTAATTTGTGTTTCTATGAAAAAGTAATTCATATGAAATTTTCATCAATACTTAATTAGCAAACAATTTCTAATTTGTAATTAATATTAAATAAAAGTTTTCAAAAATTAATTAATTTTAGTATTTCATCAAACGTTTAGTTTGACTCAAATTGGTGTTGATGTCAATCAATGGCTTCATTACTATAATTACAACTATTAATAATAAAGTGATATTTGAATCAAATATAAGTTCAAAATTTCAAACATTAAAAAATGACGAAAGGGTTGACTGTTTGTGGGTTTGAGTGCTTTGAGAGTCAGTATAACTGTATGTTTGACTCAATAATGCATTGCTTTTGACAAACGCCTCGCAATCAGACGTTTCACACAACAGACCAATCGATCACTCAATCAATACATTACTGTTAATCCGTTGATTGAATCAACGAATCACTCAATCGATGGACAAATTAATTGAAATCAAAAAGTTTGGTATTTTGAAGCCATTGCTGAAGAATCGCGAGACGAGACAATCGTTGACACTATTGGCATGTTTTGGTCAGAGCGGATCCGAAGTGATATTTGCCACAAACGACGGCCGAGTGTTTGGTTTCGGTCACAACCGATGCGGATGTCTTGGATTAGGCGTTTGGGACGAAGACATCGCCACTCCGACAGTGAACAAGACGTTGTCTAACATACAACTGACGGGTTTATACTACGGGTTCGGCCACTGTATTGGACTGACGGCCGGCGGACAGTGTTATAGTTGGGGCGACAATGCGTTCGGACAGTTGGGCATCGGCTCCACCGACGCCTCCCATACACCGCAACTGATCGCCGGATTGGCCAACAAAATGGTGGTGAGAGTCAGTTGCGGTAATGCACACACTTTGGCGCTTACCTCCGATGGACACGTGTACGCCTTCGGACGCAATTCATTTGGTCAAATCGGTGACAATTCGGTGATCTCGCGCTTCTCTCCGACTCTGGTCTACATTAGAGACACGATTGTAAGCATTTCTGGCGGAAAAGCGCATTCACTGGCGCTTTCATTTGCCGGATCGGTGTATGTCTGGGGTCTCAACGAAAGCGGACAATTGGGTCGACAACGAGATGACGACAGCCCTTCCAACCAAAAGAAAGCTCTTTGCAAACGACCCGTTATTGTCGAAAGTCTGGCTAATATTGTGGTGACGAAAGGCGTGTGCGGACCAAACCATACACTTCTTCTCACATCCGAGGGATATATCTATGCGTTTGGTCTCAACGACTTCGGACAAGTAGGGAACGGCTGTTTCACCAATCAATACAACCCTATCAGAATCAATGAGAGGATTATGTTTAAAGACATTATCGCCAATTACGACAACAATATATCGATTGCCATCTCATTTGACGACACATTCTTCGTGTGGGGTTTCAATTGGCCTCCGGATTACAAGAAGAAGGTGTCGATCCCTTTCCAATTGAACGAATCCATTGAGTTGTTCACATCGTATGATATTTACTCCAAGTATTCAAAAATTGCCAAAACTTACGAAACAATGATTTTCACGCGAATGACTGATAGATGTGTTAATTCAGTCGCCAGTAATACTAGCGTTGATAATAACGATATGTATGACAATGATTATCCATTGATTGATCCAATTGTTCCCAATCCTATGCCATATCCTTTACCTATTGTACCAAATTTGAATGACTCGTTCAATAGTGATAATCCAAAACCAATGCTACAAATAGATGTGAACGAGTTGTTGGCTTTTGATACTCCAAAGACGAACACAATGCTGGAAAACTTTGATTTGAATGTGTCTTTGCCTTCACTTGATTCCAACCTGAATTCAATGTTAGATGACATGCATTTGAATCAATCAATCACTTCATATAAATCCAACACTGCTTTGATTTGCGATAATACACTTCAGAGTCTGTTATTAAACGCATTTAACAATCCTATGGATTATGATTTGAAAATAATAGTTGAGAGCAAAACAATTTATTGTCACAAAACTATACTCAGAATACGAAATGAAAAGTTTTGGCGAGAATTTGCCGATCAATTGTGTGACGAAGACATTTATGAGTTAACTCTTAGCGCTTATTCTTATGTATCGTTTCACGCATTTGTCAAATATCTTTACGGCAATTATCCTGAAGTTAATGACCAAAACTTTAGTGATTTGTTAAAATTGGCCGATCTTTACGAGGAGCCAGAGCTGAGGAACCTGTGCTTTAAGAGTCTAAACAACATAATAAATGTGACAAATGTTTGCTCTCTTTACGAATTGGCTGTGAATTCAGGAATTTGTGAATTAGAAAATTCTTGCATTCAATTTGCGAAAACCGATTGGAAAAACATTTTGATGTCAGAAGAGTTTCAGGCAATGAATGACACGATCTCTAAACGATTGATGCGTTTGGTGTTTATGAACTGAAAGTCAATTAAACTATTATTAATAATTCAATTTTGTTTTCACTTTTATTTTCAAATGCAATATTCAATACATTATGAGAATTATAATCATTTCATTGTTTTTTAACCAAATTCTTTTAATGACAAAAAATATGAATAAAAATGCTTTTTCAAAAGTAATTCTTAAACAATGTTTGTTTGTTTAAATGTATGTTTTCTTTATTCACAATTAAAACTTTATTCAATCAGTAAATTTTGTTTGAATTGTTTTTAATATGTTTATTTTGTAACATTTGTGGCAAACCTGTGGCCCAAATACAGCCAATATATGAAATGTAATCGAGAGCTCTGGTCGGCCACAAGAACTCAAACATCCAAACTCTGAGTCTCTCGAGTGGACCCAAAACTCTATAGTTAGTGGAAACTGATTTGTTTGTCACCGCATTAAACATAGTGTCGACCACATTGTCGACCGCAGGTCTGGCCGTATCCAACGCCTTATTTAACAGCGCTTGATAACCACGAAAGTATGTCTCGCCATACGCTTCCCTAATATCTTCTGGTGTCTGATCCCATGCCTTGACTAACGCAGAGTTATGATTATTTCCATTCACTAGATTTGTTCTGAAAATGCAAATATTTCATTAATTAAATCATTTGTATCCATATATTGTAATTAATTGAAGGCAATGTTTACGCACCTGAAGAGATGGGGTTCAATACAAATGACATCAATTTGCCATTTCTTCATTTCTCGTCTCAATCCCTCCGAGAATGAGATGACACCACATTTGGACAGACAATAGCCAACCATTCCAGGGATGGCGAAACGGCCCGCAAGACTCGCCATATTCACGACACGGCCTTTCGATAATCTCAAAAGTGGTAGAAATGCTTTTGTCACCCGAACTGTTCCCAAACAATTGACTTCCATTTGGGAGACAAATGAAGACATGTCTCCAAACTCTATTTCAAATGAAGACAATATCCCGGCGTTATTAACGACAGACCAGAGCTCTAAACAAAGAGAAATAAGTTTAATAAACTTTTAATAATGAGTTTAAAAAGTTATTTAACCATTCTGTTTGAGTGCATTTTGAACCAGTTTTCTGGCATTCAATACACTGTCATCTTTGGTCACATCTAATGGAATAATTGTAATATTTTCGGGGAATTCATGTCCCAAGTCTTGAGCGCCAGATTCAGTTGGCATAAGACAACCGGCAAAAACATGGTATCCTTTAGTTGCTAAACGTTTTGCTAATTTGTTACCAAATCCTGAATCGCATCCTATGTTTTGATGAAATTTTATAATTTAAGAAATAGTTATAAATATATAAAATACAAAGTGTTGTTACCAGTGATGAGAACAGCTTTGCCTTTTGGGTCGATATATTGTTTTGGTATAGATTTGAATCTCCAAACAGATTGACTCAAATTCCACGACAAGTAAATCCAAAGAATACAAAATATTACTTTTGATAACAATTGAACTATAGATACGGCAACAAAATTAAACACCACATAATTAAAGGACAAAATTAAGGCAAATATTAAATAAAACAACATTTTGTAATATTATTATTGTAATAAACTAATGAAGAGTCAAAAAACTTTGTATAAAATCAATATTAGGTCAACGCTTGAATTCGCAATGAAAGTTTTTGATATGTGTCTTAATTTAGTTTGCAAAAAACAAATCTAGTTTTGACCCATTTTTGCTATAAAAGTGAACACGTTATTCAAGTTTTGTGAATAAGTATTATGCTATATATAGCTATACTCTTGTATATCGTAACTAAATTATTTAATTCAACATTCAGATTGTTTTTCTTGTTTTCATATTCACTACAGAAAGCGTTTACACCAAATATAATAAAATCTCTAAATGTATAATACAATCACTTATTTATCATCGTTTAAATACTGTTGCTATTGAGTCCTCAATTTGAGGAATAATCAGTTGTCTTCGAGGAGACATATCTTTATTGATATGTCATTTAGTGAATTGATACTAATATTACCGTAAAAATTCAATTGAGTATAATTTTGAATAATTTGAGAGGTTATGACAAATCATTTTATTGTAAAATTTAAGAATTTAGTATTTTTTAATTAAATTTGTATATTATTTTTGTGAGAATTTTTGTAATTCTTCAGTCATAAACACTTTGAGATCAGAATTAGATTTATCGATGGCTTCAACCAATACTTTAATGAAATCTTTGTTACACTCTTTGATGGTTTCGATCACTTTTTGATTTGATTTCTCGACGCTTTCTCTGCACGTCTTGATGTCATTCCTGATCGCATCGGTGCAGGCATTCAAGTGCTCCACAATTTCCGGACAATCCATACAACGTTTTGGTGGAGGAGATGACGGTTCCCGTTGATCGCATGCATTCATATAATACCATCCCTTCTTTGGATCCCATTTGCGTGTCTCGTAGGCGGCGATCGATCGGTGATCTCTTTTGAACACTACTTTTGGCGAATAGAATCGACTCGTCTTTAAAGTCCTGAACGAAGATGTTTGACATGTATTGGAATTGTGGCCACTATTCAGAAACGGGTGAATAGGCGGCGGTTTTGGAAATCCGGGCCAAAGATGTGGCCCTTCTTTATAAGAGTTTCCATTTGGAGAGAATTGAGGAATAAATGAATCGGAATTCGAGTTGAAGTGCATGGATGGCAATGAAGGCCTCGGAGGAATGATTCCCGGCATCGGTGTTGAATTAAACCGTGGATTTGATTGCATTTCAGACCAATTAAACTCAAAGTTTCTATTTTCACACATATTTCCAAATTCTGTTGTGTTTTGTATAAAAAGTTTGAATTTTGCAACAATTTGTTTATTAATCGCGTGAATATTCAAATCAAATACAAAGAAATGCATTTCTATATAATCTCGTGAAATAAAAGCAAAGAATTTGTGTAAAAAAGCGAATTTGAATTAAATAGTGAAACAAAAGTGAAAAGTTTTCAAATTTCAGTTCAAATTTTGTTTCACTGAAAACCAATTATACGAAAGGTTTGCTTTTAATATAAAAAGTTATAAATGTTTTCTCAAATTTAATGAAATACTTGTTTTCTAACATATGTTTCATTTATTTTAGACTTGAAAATAATTTGTTAACCAATGGGTAAACCAGTGATGTATATAATGGCTGTAATTGTGTTATCACTTGGTCTACAATCCGTGGATCAAGTAATAGGAGGGAAGTCGGGGGCGAACGACCTGTTGTCAGGTTTGACGAAAGGCTTGAGTGCCGGCATCTGTCCCATCAAAGTGTTGGCCAAATCTCCTGAATGTCGCGATAAGGCGGGCAAAGATTGGAAAGTCGACGACAATCAGAAGAAGACCGCCTGTTGTTTCTCGTATGATGTGATCGATTGCATGAGAGGCCATGTGTCCAAAGAGTGCGGATCAGATGAGGGCAAAGACACCGACACTGCTCTTAGAGAATCGGCTGAAGGTCTATACGAAGGCGAATGCAGTGATTATGGCTATCGTTGGTATCATCATTATAAGGCTTGGAAGTGTCACATCCCATGGCTTCTCATAGCCATTGTCGCGGTTGTCACGATTATCAGTATTGTGATCGTCGTCTACTTCGTTAAGAAATAATTCCTTACTTGCTTTTCATTTTATTTAATAATTCATTTCTAATGTTTTATTTATTATCTAAATTTAGTTTATTTTTATATGAATTTAATTTATAAAACATTCATAAGACATCTCTTTTATAAAGACATGAACTAATTGTAAAGAATTTATATAAAAAACATTTAAAAATTGTGAAAAGTATTTCTAATACTGTTTAGAATTCTTAGCATTTATTGAGAATTAAAGCGAAACATAACTGTAAAACATAAGTGGAATAGTTGTGTGGAATTTGTCGGTCTGTCTGCCAATCGATTACTTATTTTCTAAATATTTTGCTTTCATTTATCGTATATCTGAAGACAATTTGTAAATCAATGGACAATCGAGTGATATATATAATCGGTGTAATCGTGTTATCACTCGGTCTGCAAGCCGTCGATCAAGTGGTAGGAGAGCCGACGTCGTCGGGAGCGGACCTGTTGTCAGGTTTGACGAAAGTGTTGAATGCAGGCGTTTGTGCCCTCAAAGTGATGGCCAAATCTGCCGAATGCACCGCAAAGGCCGGCGACGACTGGAAAAACGCCGATAGGGAGAAGAAGGCCGCCTGTTGTCTCACCTATGATGTGATCGATTGCATGAGAGGCCAAGTGTCCAAAGAGTGCGGATCATCTGATGGCAAAGACACCGACGCTATTCTCAGAAAATGGGCCGAAGCTCTACACGACGGCGAATGCAGTGATTATGGCTATCGTTGGTATCAATACACGGCCTGGAAGTGTCACATCCCATGGATTCTCATAGGAGTGGTCGCGGTTACCACTATCATCATTATTGTGGTCGCCGTCTACTTCTTATGGAAATAATTCATTCACTTATTCTTCATTTGATTTTATAATTCATTTGTTTTGCTATACATTTAGTTATTGTCTAAATTATATGAACTGTACTGTAATTTCAGTTTATTTTTATGTGAATTTAATTTAATTTTATAAAAACATGAAATAAAGAGTTTGCATAAAAAGCGATGTAAAGTATTTATTACTACAACACTGTCTACTGTTTAGTATTTTTTATCGAGTATTTAAGTCAAACATAACTGTAAAACAAAACTAGAGTTTCGTGTCTGTTATCTCTGGCTATCTTTACATCTGTTAAATCGTTTACTTATTTTCTAAATAATTTTCTGTCATTTATTACAGATTTGAAAAAATTGTAATCAATGGGTAATCGAGTGATGTATATAATGGTTGTAATTGTGGTATCAATTGGTCTGCAATATGACCACCGAGTGATAGGAAAGGAGACGACGACGCCGTCGACAGCGGCTCTGTTATCAGGTGTCACCAAATTTGTCAAATCAACCGTTTGTGGCGTCAAAGTTGGCATCCAATTGGTTGAGTGCTCGTCAAAGGCTGACAACGACTGGAAAGACACCGACAACAGGAAGAGAGCCGAGTGTTGTGCGCGTTATGAGGCCATGGATTGCGTTACAAGTTATGCGTCCAAAGCGTGCGAATTGTCGGACAGCAAAGAAGTTGACACATATTTTCGCGATAGAGCCGCAGAGCTATACGACAACCAATGCACTGGTTATGGCTATCGTTGGTATCAATGGAAGTCTTGGAAGTGTCACATCCCGTGGATTCTCATAGGCGTTGTCATTGTTGTCGTTATCATTCTTGTGGTCGCAGTCATACTTCTATGCAATTGCCGTTAATTCATTCACTTATTCTTCATTTTATTAATTCAATAATTATCTAATTGTACTGAAATTTATGTGAATTTAATTGTATGTCTCG